TTCTTCTTCTTCTTCTTCTTCTTCTTCTTCTTCTTCTTCTTCTTCTTCTTCTTCTTCTTCTTCTTCTTCTTCTTCTTCTTCTTCTTCTTCTTCTGAGACAGGGTTTTTCTGAGTAGTCCTGGCTGTCCTGGAACTTACACTGTAAAACAGGCTGGCCTCTACCGCCTGGCTAGAATTTAAGTTTAAATAGAGGGAGGAGGGAGGTATTCATAACCAAATAATTCCGATGAAGGTGTGTCCCACACATCACTTATCTGTCATTGTCTCAGCTCTAGTCTCTCCTGCAAGGTAGTCTAAAAGTTATGAAATTCTTGGGGGACATTCCAATTCCTCGTGGACCATTGTCTCAACAGTTTCATAAATACAGTGAGAGGTACACCTAACTCTTTATCTCTTTATCTCTTTATGGAGCATCTTCAGGTTTCTCTCTCTCTCTCTCTCTCTCTCTCTCTCTCTCTCTCTCTCTCTCTCCTCTCTCTCTCTTTGGAGGGGGGTTTAAAGACAGGATTTCTTTGTATAACTGCCCTGGCTGTCCAGGAACTCACTCCATAGACCAGATGACTAGCCATGAACTCTGCCTCCCGAGTGTTGGTATTAAAGGCGGCCACCACCACCTGGCAGCATCTTCACTTTTACCAGGAGGGTTACAAGTCCAGTATCACTAACTCAACAGTCAGTTTCTTCCTATTGGGTCTGAACAATCAGCCTCCCTTTTGCTCTTGTTCTCCTGACCTCTCCTCCTTCTCCCTTCCTCAACTGTTTTGGAGAAAGTAACCATTTATTATTCCCTGCCTGTCTCCCAAATTCTTCTGAGAACATTGGTCTCTTGTAGTCAAAACTCTATCTTAGAAGTTAAACCATAAAACTTTTTGATTCTCTTTGTATTTTCTCTCCCTCTGCTTTCTTGCATGTACACCATAAGTAGGCTTTCCAAGGTCATTTAATTGAGAACTTGATCATGCTGGAATGAGACCCTCAGACTTATGTGAAACCCAGGGAAAAGTACAAAAGAGCCCTTAAAAGACCCTGATAAAAATAAAGCCTGCCTAAGACCTGCAAGAGATAATAACTAGATCATGTTTAAACAGATAATTATAGTTTCTTATGGACTTTTAAATGTAATTTAGGTTCCTCTCTTTTATTAAGCTCATAAATTTGTTTATATTGCTCTGTCTTCCAATTGTAAAGACTTGTCTCTATATGCACACAAAGGATGTGAGAATATATTTATATATAACCTATCTGGATATAAGAACGTATTTTTTGAATAAGGAGGGACTTCGGTGTGATAAAACGTTTGCCAGGCATGGAGACTTGTGCCTTGTAGCCCTAACACTTGGAAAGTGGAGAGAGGAGGATCAGAAATTCAGGGTCATTCTTGGCTGTCTAAAGCTTGAGTAAGCCTAAGCTACATGGAACCCTATCTCAAAACAAGAAACGAACAAAATAAAATTT